GGTGAGATGTTAGCAAGGTATGTTTATAAGGTGAATGAGGTATGGTGGTGGGTGAGATATACTAGCAAAGTATATAACACATGATAATAAAGTAAATAAAGTATAGTAGTAGTAAAGTTAAGTGTTAGTAAGGTGGGTGAGGTGTGCTAGAGAAAGAGGAGCATACATAACGGCCCTGTGGCGCAATGGTAGCGCGTCTGACTCCAGATCAGAAGGCTGGGTGTTCGAGTCACTCCAGGGTCAGCTCTTTTTGTCTTGCAAATTATATAATGTCTGAAAATAAAAGTCGTTTTGATTCGGCCCATTTTATTTATAGCCATTTACTAATCGGTTCACGATTTTGATGCCCGTATACTCCAAAATTTTAAAAAATATGTATCTACTTTTTTTTTTTTTTGTAAATGAGAAGCCACTGTTCTTAATTACTAAATTTTGTCCCAGATGGGCGGGTACGAAAACCATCGAAAAAAAAATTGAAAAAAAAAGTTACTTTTACCAAAAAATATTTCAACAATCTGGCAATATTTTGGTTTATGTCTGGGCCATGGGTCCCAGATAACCAAAAAAAAAAGTCACTTCGTCTGACTTTTTTTTTTGGTATCCTACGTAATTTACATACATGTTACTATGCATGATAATCGTAGTCACCTAAATAAACTTACTTAAGTCTCCCTGGCAGGTTGGTATAATGATCGCCAGGAAACATGACAAGTGTTTCCTGACGCGGGTCTCAGTTATATTATGACCCACAGCTGGAGCTTTTGGTCATCTGGCTATAACCATTGTCTTAATTTAGTCTCCCTAGAACTAGAAGGGATTCATAGGTAAGGACCCAATAGAGGCGAGGGGGATGTGGGGATTGGTGAAGAATAGGTGGGTGAGAGGAAAGATTGGAGAAAAAAGAAAAAGAGTTAGGGGAAAAAGGAAAAGAGGGGAAAGAGGAAGAGTCAGGGCTAAACCCAGCGGTTTAGCCCTGACTCTTTTCCTTTTTCTCCAGTCCGCAAGGCATTACTGTAAACCTGATATCAGGCATAAAAGGAAATGCATCTGTGTCCGCTCTCTGTCGAGTATCAACTGCAAGACTGGACACACAAAGCAGGCAAAGGTAGGAGCTTTTATGTGGCCCTAACCAATACCAGTCAAGGTGCTCCACCCAACTGCATGTATGAGACACCTGTTACTATCACCAGTTTCACAGACGAAGGTCACAACGCATTCAGTACGAAAAGGAAGATTTTTACCTTTCAAGGGAGGTTATTAATGGAAGCGCTAAACGCGTAGGGATCATATAGCTCCCGGGCAAAGGGAGGTAATCACGGTATATCCAAAGGATGGCTCTCATTCTTTGGATCAACAGCTTTAAACCAGCATATCGAACACTTCAAAGGAGAAATGCCAATAAATGGATATTATTAATAAAATTCGGATTACTATTATCAAATGAGTTGAACCAGTAAATCACATGGCACTGAAACCAAAAAATCTGAGCTACCTTCTGTACCCATGGATCAAACCAGGTTACTCACCATTTCCAAGGTGCTGTTTAACTCCCTACAGGTTTAGCGTCTCCCATGAATTTTATTATAATAATAATTTTTTTTATTTTATTTAAAAACTTACACAATACATAAATGCACACTAGCAGAAAAATGTCCAACAAAAGGAACATTGTCAAAACTTTCACAATTTACAATAGCAACATAATTTATACCACACCAATCCAAAGAACACTAAACCCCCACACTCTGTTAACACTCACTCAAAACCTGCAAAGGGCAGGATGAGAAACCCTTGCAGCCACACAAGTGTGGCACAACCCTCTACCCCTTAACTTAGATTGTAACGAAAACACTTTTACCCAATATACAGATATATGGTTTGAAAACACTACAGATGATACCCGAATCTGCATGACAGTGTCTTCCATTGCAGACACTGCAAGGCTCCAGGCGGACATCAACCGAATCTTTCAGTGGGCTGCAGAAAACAATATGAAGTTCAACGATGAGAAATTTCAATTACTCAGATATGGTAAACACGAGGAAATTAAATCTTCATCAGAGTACAAAACAAATTCTGGCCACAAAATAGAGCGAAACACCAACGTCAAAGACCTGGGAGTGATCATGTCGGAGGATCTCACCTTCAAGGACCATAACATTGTATCAATCGCATCTGCTAGAAAAATGACAGGATGGATAATGAGAACCTTCAAAACTAGGGAGGCCAAGCCCATGATGACACTCTTCAGGTCACTTGTTCTATCTAGGCTGGAATATTGCTGCACACTAACAGCACCTTTCAACTTGCACACGAAAATCACTCACTACGAAAGCAAAAGACTTGGCAGACGATGCAACATCCCCCCAATGAAAAGCAGGGGTGTCACTAGCACGTTAAGAGACCATACAATAAGTGTCAGGGCCCCAGACTGTTCAACTGCCTCCCAGCATACATAAGGGGGATTACCAACAGACCCCTGGCAGTCTTCAAGTTGGCACTGGACAAGCACCTAAAGTCGGTTCCTGACCAGCCGCGCTGTGGCTCGTACGTTGGTTTGCGTGCAGCCAACAGCAACATCCTGGTTGATCAGGCTCTGATCCACCAGGAGGCCTGGTCACAGACCGGGCCGCGGGGGCGTTGACCCCCGGAACTCTCTCCAGGTAAACAAAATTATGCAGTATCATGTTATTATAAGAGTTCATAGCTAACCATATTATTTTTTTTTATTTATTTAAAACAATACAATACATTAAATAAACAAAGTATCACATTTCATTTCGTTCACAGAAAGTATGATTACCATTATCAATATATACGCTAGAACGGTTAATTTTGTGTTGACGTAAATTGTCGCCCGTCCCCTATGCATTATGTACCTAGCCTAAGGAAAACAAGATTACACAAATTCTACGTAACAGTAATCAAATACATATTATATACATTATTATAAACAAAGAGATTTTATGTCATTAAAACCTTTAAACGGACATTGTACATAAACAAGTGCCTATATAACAAAATATCCAAATACGAACGATATGTAATGATTCCGGTACTCAGTCTACTGGATTACTGCAATGATACAAAACATATTCAGTACAATACACAAAGGGTTCCACTTAATAGCATGGGATAATTCTGAATTGCTAATACAAGTAACATTATGCAACACACACCACACATTCAAACCTGATATACACACACACACATTATTGAAGATTATATAAACAAAATACACACACAAGAAAACGAGTGATACGTCCACTAAACTGTCAAAGGAAAAACGTTACACTAATCATCGCGTCCACAACAGTGATCAAATATGGGTAATAGGACTACGTACAAAAACACACATTGTTAACTTTCATATCTAGTCATATTCCAAACATGTATCCCAGGAGTCCCCAAGCAGAACGTTACCAGGTATCAGCCACATGGCTAATACAAGGAAAGTATAAAATGAAAAACTATAAATATAAGTTGCACGAGGTGCTTTTACGTAACACCTGTCATGCAATGATGAGTTTGCTTTACAAGAGATCCACTCCCTTGACCCACATCAATGCAAGAACAAAAAATAGTATCCAAGTAATATTATATATATGTGTATGAGTAAAACGTCATAACTAACGATCATACCTAGCATTTATACATTATACCGCACCTGTACCAATCATGTGCCACCTCCACACACCCATATTCAAGAAGCGAGCCTCGTGTACCCTCTAATTAACGCCCATAAATCCCTGACATGGAATCTGCAATATCCCTCCGAAAATAATAAAAACCATCTGTTTCCTGTAATGTCTTAATTTCGCTGCTGTGTACCATGAAAAATCGCTACCAGTGCTCTGATTCTCTCCCTCACAGATAAATGCCTATATACCCATGATGTGTATACAAAATCCGTCACTAAATATCCGATTGCATTCTGTACCGGTGTTCCGACCCCCCCCCCCCCCACATCTAAATTTAAAGCTCTTAAGACACTAATCCCACCCCCACTCTCCATTCTTAAAACCCTACTAAACCACAACCTTACGGGTTCCAATCTCGTACAGAAATAAACTGCATGAAAGACCGTATCAAGATCCCCACACACACAAAACTGCCCCCCTCCTGCACGCGCCTATTCGCTAACACTTCCCCAGACGGCAGTATATTATGTAAAAATTTAAACTCTCTCTGACCTTGGCCCGTAACCGTAACGCTTTTAAACGGCCCCATATGTCCTTCCATGCATACATTGGATATATTCCTTCCACCTTGGCCACTACCTCCCTGCCCTCTACCAGTGCCAGTTTGCCAATCTTGATCTTGCGTGGATCTCTTATATAAATTAGCAGTCTTCAAGCTGGCACTGGACAAGCACCTAAAGTCAGTTCCTGATCAGCCGGGCTGTGGCTCGTACGTTGGTTTGCGTGCAGCCAGCAGCAACAGCCTGGTTGATCAGGCGCTGATCCACCAGGAGGCCTGGTCACAGACCGGGCCGCGGGGGCGTTGACCCCCGAAACTCTCTCCAGGTAAACTCCAGGTAAACATCTCTACGTCCGTGCCGTTCAACCAACGTACCAAGTCCCTTCTTATCCAGGTCAAACCTGTGCCAGCCATTCTACCCTCCCTCAAGTAGCTGTGCTTGACATACATGCCTAACAGTCTATTATGCAGATTCATTAACCCCAGGCCACCCCGGCTAACCGGAAGAGACACCACATCCCTCGTTAACCAATCACATCCTGAACCCCAAATATATCCATATACACGCGTTAACATACGCTTCTCATCATATGGATTTAACGGATAAATACATGCCACATGCCACAACTTACTGAACAAAAGCACATTCACCACAATTTATAATAATAATTATAGGATTCTTTGTGTCTAATTATATCACTAAGGAATATAGTCAGGAATTAAATACAGTTATTATCATACATTTATTCTAAAATAAAAACTTCATTTGCCTAACAATATACAAAGAAGTGTAATGAATTTACATTGATATACAAACGGTTAATATAGTTGAATTAGTTTAATTTTTAATTATAATAAAAAAGAAGCTCTAAACCCACTAGGGTTATACAGCTCTGTAATTTAAAAAAGTAATCCTTAACAGAAATTTAATTTGTAAAGGATAAGGTTAAATCTGAAAATCTGTAAACTAATTTATTGTAGTCTTAAACTCTGAAATTTTTAACTATATACAGCATTATCATAAGTAACTTCACCAATAGGCTAACGCAGCATTTTCTTTCATCCGCACACTGTATCAGGTTCATCAGCTGCGTATGCTGTATTGTTTTAAAGCAATGGTCCGTACGTCAGTTTGCGTGCTGCCAGCAGTAACAGCCTGGTTGATCAGACCCTGATCCACCACAAGGCCTGGTCTCAGACCGGGCCGCGGGGGCGTTGACCCCCGAAACCCTCTCCAGGTATATCTACATATTTCAGTTTTCTATTTTTCCATTTAACGTATTAATATTGATGTGTTTTTTCTAAGCTTGATAAACATGACTGCCTCTATTGGTTCACAGTATATTTAAATATGTATAAATACAAAAAAAAAATAATTAAAAAGCTTCAGTTTTTATAAATACATATAACAAAAAGTCTTAATGTACAGAACTGTTTCGATATTTTTGAATTACTGAGTCGGTATTCGAAATGAACATGGTCAGTTAGAGTCAGGTGTTGGAAATGTTTCACGGCATCGGTAGCATCCTCGTGTACAATAGGCGTGAGAAATTATGTGTATGAAGTTTACGGGCACAGTTCTGAATTATTAAACACATAATTTGGGGAGAGCACAACTAAGACAGAAATTACACTTATTGATATTAGTTGTACCTTGGAGATGGGTAGGATTTTAGGAACATTGAGTCTCAATAGTATCCCTCCTTCGATACCCACCCACTCATCCCACACTCGCATAGGCTGGACCTTCAGTTATGAATTATTAAATTTAAACCAGTAACATTGGTAAATTATGTTTGTGGGCTGTAAACGGATTATTTATGACCTAACTTTACTAATTAGTGGTTTGGTCCACGAAATCTATTGACAGGAGTATATATAGAGAATGTACCTGATAAACATATATTACACGTTCCCACAATTTGCACTAGAGGTGGATCCCATTTACATGTATCATTTTATAATCCACAGAAATTACATATTTCTTGGGTTATATATCCTAACACTTCCCTACCCTACAGATACCAGAGGCTGACCAACATAGTTACCTACTGGGAAGCTTACATACACAAGGGGTGCCACAATTCCAGACGAAGCCGCCTTTCTATATACCATTTATCCGCTTTATTGTAACGGAGTTAGCCTTGATATGCACGACTGTAGATGCCCACGTCCTTAAATTATTTTATAGTACTCCATTATCGTCGATACACTCACTTTTGGCTACGACTACACAAGATTTTCTCTGCTACACTCTCTTGTCTATTTACACTACGCCATATTTCGACGCCAACTTTCACCTATCTGTTGGTTCCCTTATGACTCGAAACTTTTCCAAGTCACATAAACATTACATTTTTTAAACAATATTACATAATTCAATATTTACACACTAATTTCAAGAAAATTTGAAAAAAAAATCCACAATAGGTACAGTGTGGTTGCAGTTCTCCCTGTTCCCTCTAGCTCAGTGGTTGGTTCTTAACCTTATTGGAGGTACTGAACCCCGCAAGTTTCATCCGTGATTTCACCGAACCATTCGTAATTGGAAAAATGAAATGTGATTTCTTCAAAATATGATTTCAATCAAAACTGCTGTTGCAAAAGTATGGGGCAGTATCCGTCGAGAGACTCTGCAAGCTCATCTAAGTGCATGGCAATTGCTTGTTTCAGTTCCCCGGGAACAGGAATGTCTCCGATTCCATACACGTCTTCGATCTTGCTTACACAGTTGTCCAGCAGGGGAAAATTTGCAAAGTTATCATTCTCTGTTCGTCGTTTCCATAACGGTGACTTTTTTTTGAAAAGCCTTCATGTTTTCTTCCGCTTCGATGATGTTGACTCCACCACCCTGCATCTGTCGACCGAGATGATTGACAGCATCGAAGATATCGGCCATGTACGCCAAAATGAGAATGAACTCAGAATTTTCGAATTAATCTACATGACAATGTTGGTGCTCTCGCAAAAACAGGGCTAATTCCACACGCACGGCAAAAACACGATTCATCATATTTCCCCAGGATAACCACCAAACACTAGAATGGTACAGAAATACCTCGAATTCAGAGCCCATTTCATTACACAACTCTGAAGATGCGGTGCTTCATAGTACTATTTTGCACGTGTCGTGTGTGGGAGACCTCCGCCGAACCCCTGGGGTTCGATCGAACCCAGGTTAAAAACCACCGCTCTAGCTGCAGTATGTTATGCATCACACTGTGGCTCATACATTAATGCTTACATTCTCCATAATTCTATCTTGAAATACAGACTTAATGCTAAAGATAGACCTTATACAAGAGATTTATAGTTGTAGTGTCGTCTAAAGTCACTAAGTTTATATTTCTTTCAAAGAGTTCCAGATTATGCAGGTTTCAGTCATTTTTTTTTTTTAGCTGTACATGAAGCACCTTTAAGAGCAATATTTACCCTTGATAAAATGTGTAAATATAAATTATTGTACTGGCTACAGTGGAATTTTACGAATATCATTGGAAGATGTCTTTTATATATTTTCTGAAAAGATATACTGAGTTAGTCTGTATAATCCATTGATTAACGTTACGTTTGGGCACCACAGAGTAAGATTTATAACAGCTGTTACTGATTCAAGTGGAAGAGCACATGTAGGTGAAGCAAGAAGTGATTATTGATAGAGATGGAGGAGTGAGACGCCCGGGGCGACGGTGATGTCCCTGAAGACAGCATCGTTGGCCAAGAGTGCAGGTGTGGTCAAGCCAAGTCCCAGGCCCTCCTCTGCACACCGGTCTGGTCCCTCGTGTTTTTGGCCCTCTGGAAATCGTACTAAGGGTTGACCCATGCCTGGTGCTAACAGAGTGTCATGATCGGCAGCTGTTACGCCAGCAGGAGCGTCGTGCACTCTGGCCGAGGCTGGGCTGCACCTTGCAGCCACTCTTCGCAAATAAATAACCTCTTGACGAAGTGCATCCCGCTCTTGGCTGGCAGCTCGCATCAGCTCTAGATACTCAGAACTCTGCAGAGAAGAGGAAAATGATCCTATATATCAAGGTAATTAATAGAACAAAATGACCACTCAAAGTTTTCTCCGTACAAGACAAGTCATAATATAATGGCAACACTGGTCAGCTCAAACATTTAATTTATATTCGATATAAATAAAAACATGGAAGAAAAACTATCTTGGTTTCTAATTTTCATATATAAATATTATCAAGTAGGGAAGGAGTAGCATGCTTCTAAATACTATTGTAGATTCTATACTAAAGCACTGAAGAACCAGCCTGCATGCTACCTCCCCCCCCCCCAACTAAACACAAGAAGGTGCATACCGAACTGCATGCTACTACAGTAAGCAGATTCTAATCTAAGCGGAGAATTATTAATAGACTGTAATACCCCACCTGCGAGAGAGTGCATCAATCCTGTCCCCCAACAAGTGAGTATATTTATCAACACAATCAAGTCTGGTGAAAGTGGTCATGAGCACAAACTGGTACTTGAGGCAATTTTCACACTGTGAACTATGATGCTGTATTAGTCTTCCCAGGCGCCACCCCTGTTTCTCCACATCCTTTTGCAACCCCTCGACGGCGCCTCCCAAAACTTCTAATATCATCATTAACGTCTCACATTTATCACACACCGTCTTACCCTTTTCCTCTCCATCGCTTTCACCTTTAGTATCATCTGTCTCGCTATCTGGCGTGTCTTCCACGTCCCTTAGTCCCAATCCACCTTCATCTTCCTTATTCTTTGAGCTCTCTGTGAGTGACTTTACTTCGTTGGCACTTGTGTCTTCATCGTCGTTTCTTTTAGCTTTTTCTTCTGAGTTTTTCTCTCTATTTATTTCCATTTTTTTGTCCACTTCGGCTTCGATGCAATTTGTATCTCCCATAGTGTTTACTGGTTCTTTGTCTGTTACCATTGCTTCCTTATTTGAATCTCCCATCTTGTTTTCTTCAGTTTTGTCTTCTACTTTCCCGTTCTTGGACTTAGCCTTTGCTTGTCTATTTTCAACATCCTGATTTTCAACTCTCATACTACTGCTGATCGGCTCTCCATGTGAGAATTCTGAGTCTACTTGTTTCCACTCTAGGCTTTCATGTTGACCATTTATCAGTTCTTGTTGATCATTTGTGTCCTCTGGCTTTATGTCAATGTTGGTGTGAGTAATAGGTGCGATGGTAGTTGTATTGAGAACGTTGCTCTCAGTGGCACTTGTGGTAGGGAGGATTGGGGTGGTAGTAATGTCAGTGGCATCTATGCTGGTTGGAACAACTGGTATGATGTTGCTGTCAATAACAGTTGTGCTGTTGTTGAAAGCTACTGTGTTGATTTCAGTAGTAGGGGTGGTAGTATTTGCTGTGTCAGTAGCTGCTGTGTTGCTATCAGCAGTTGCTGTGTTGTTTTCAGTAGCAGGAGTGTTGATAGTCGTTGTGGTGGTACTGTCAGTAGCAGGAGTGTTGTTGGTACTAGCAGGAGTGGCTTTAATATTGGTAGCTGATATGTTGCTGTTCTCAACTGCTGTTTTGCTGTCAGCAGTTACTGTGTTGTTATCAGCAGCTGTTGCGCCGTTTCCAACACCAAGAGTGTTGGTAACTGCTGTGGTGGTACTGTCAGTACCAGGAGTGACTTTAATATTGGTAGCTGTTGTGTTACTGACATCAACTGTTGTTTTGCTGTCAGCAGCTATTGTATTGCTACCAGCAGGAGTGTTACTGTCAATAGTAGTAGTGTTGTTGTTGGTAGCTGTTGTGTTGCTGTTGGTAGCTGTTGTGTTGCTGTCAGTAGCTGTTGTGTTTCTGCCAGAAGCTGCTGTGGTATTACTGTCAGTAGCAGAAGTGTTGTTTATGTTGGTAGCTGTTGTATAGTTGGCAGTTATCGCGTTGATGTTAACAGCTGTTGTGGTGTCAGTGGCTGGCGTGGTGATGTTCCTGTTGGTAGCCGATGTGTTGCTCGCAGTAGCTGCTGAGTTTCTGCCAGTAGCTGTTGTATTGCTGTCAGCAGCCGGAGTGTTGCTGATGCTGGTAACTGTTGTGCAATTGGCAGCTGGTGCGTTGATGTTAACAGCTGTTGAGTCATTAGTAGCTGGCGTGGTGGCGTCGCCTGGTACCGCAAGAGTGGAAAGTGGTGGCTCATTACCACCCTCTGAGGTGTGCTTCCGCGGCTGAAAGGAGTCTTGGTAGGGTTGTGAGGCAACTGCAGCAGTAGCAGTAGAGGCCAAGGTAGCTAGACACCGACCCACTTCCTCCAGACGATTCCTGCAACAACATAACATTACTGGCGTCTTTCGTACATACCTGAAGTTCGGCTTGCGTCGCCTTGCCCTCGGAGCACTTGAGTTTGTCGAGGGCCTGCTGATAAAGGGCGCCCTGCATCCGCGCCTGCTCCTGGCATACAAGAATCTGTTGCTGTGCTTGCTGCAGTTCCTCTGCTACTCTGGCTGCTTCTGCTTTCTGCTCAGCGCACATCTTCCTGTCCCCAGACACCCATGCATCGCACTTTTAAAACACTCACCATTAACCCATATAAACAATCAGTTCACCAACACCCCCTTAGTCATGTCATACAATGCAACAAACTTGAAAGTTGCAAACGTTAAAATGTAAACGTGTTAAGATGTATGGCCAGGTCTCCTTACATCTGCTGCCTCCATTTTCCTGGATATTAGTAAACTTGTGGGTTGCATCCTACGGTCGAGGACCTTAGGATTTAAACGGAAATATGCCACACTAGTTGCTTGGCTTTGTTGGGTTATCCGCTGCTAATATTTGCACAAATCAATAAGAAATCAAGGTTAAAACGTCTATTTATCAGTCAAATCAGTACATTCTTACTACATTAATGTGTATATTAATACTTGTCCTTTGAAGTGTTACAACTTGTAATAAATTATATAGTCATCTTTGTTGAGAGGGGGAGGATTTCTGCACACCTTGAAATTAACATTTACTGGAGTACTTTCAAACTAAGCAACGGAGTCCATGAGGGAATTGAATAATATGAAGTCTATTCAATTTACCTTGAGGAAAGAATAAAGATTATTGTTATTATTGATGAAAAGGGCTAAGCTCGCGTTGTTCATTCAGCGCTAATGCTCAAAAACAACAAAAGCAAATACGGCGTCCTTACAGGTTTCTTTCTCAGGGTACAGAATTTGCAACTAAGAGTACATTGGGAAGAAATGTTAGTACTTGTCACACACATTTACGCAGAATGTGGTTACCCTATTCTGTATAAGAGTTACACTGTAGGAACGAAAGTTAGCGTTTACCCTGCCATACAGAGGATAGGTCACACAAATTAAAAAATTAAATGTCAGCCAAACTTAAAGGCTTCAGTAGGATGATTAGGCTATTGGGCATTCCACTATGATACAACCGAACCCAAATGATTACGGTTAGGTAAAGTTTGTCAAGAAACAGGACAAGTCTTTCCTGATGCGGGTCTTAAGTCATTTGATGACTTGCAAGTGGAGCCTTTGGTCATCTGACCGAGGCCTTTCGCTGGTTTACCGGTTCACCCCTTTAAAAATTATGGTTATGATTTAATTTAACAACCCAAATTGAGAAAATGAAACAAAGTAACAGCACTGCATATTCCATGGTACACCAGTCCCTCTATTTTAGCCTGAGTTGTAGGTTGAAACAATTAATGTTCACATTTCGTTTAAATCTCACGTGGGATCGCTTGTTCCACTGAACAGTGTTTATTATATTTGTGTATTTATATTCCGCTATGGGCTCAGTAGCTACAGCAGCTTCAATATATCGTTCCACCATGGACTCAGTAGTTTCAAGATATCGTTCCACCAATTAATAATAGTTATTAACTAGGAACTGCCGTCTCTCAGGATAAGACGGAGGGTGTGTAGTGGTATGGTGAAGGGGTAGAAGGCCGGGTACTTGTATTGATTATAGACTCACCTGTAGCTGTTGCTATCATCAGCTAGTTGCTGCCTCATGTTAGATACCTCTTCCCTGAGACGGTCCATAGCCTCGCTTTGCTGGCTAGCAGCTTCCCTCAGTGACCGCACTTCACACTCTGACGCAAACACAGTTATTTATTCTTAGCAATATAATAAGTGTAGTGTGTGGTGGTTTGAGTGTCATGAGTTATTACAAGTATCATGTCTTATGTGTAGAGTAAAAGCCTTTAGCCATGTATTGACCGACCATCCCTCTTCGTTACATTTCTTTTTTTAACACTCCGGCCATCTCCCACCGAGGTAGGGTGCCCCAAAAGAAGAAACACTTTCACCATCAGCCAATCTATCATTGTCTTGTCAGAGACGAGCCGATACTACAGTTCAGATGTCCCTCCAAACTGTAAATGTCCCCTTCCTTCAGTGGGCAGGCACTGTACTTGGCCACCTCCAGGAGTCAATTCCGGATAACCGGTTTCCCTGAATCCCTTCACAAAATGTTACCTTGCTCACACTCCAACAGCTCGTCAAGTCCCAAAAAGCATGCACTCCTATCTAACGCTCGCACACCCTTGCTGGATGTCCAAGTGCCTCGCACAGAAAAACCTCCTTTACCCCCTCCCTCCATGCTTTCCTAGGGTGACCCCTATCCCACCTTCCTCCCACTTAAGATTTATATACCCTCCAAATCATCTTATTTTACTCCATTTTCTCTGAAAGTCCAAACCACTTCAACCCTCCTAATCTACAAGCTACGAATTTTCTGCATGTTTATACTACACACTGCCCTCAAAGGCGACATCTCCACTACCTCCAGCCTCGTTGAAGCATTCACAACCCGTGCTTCACATCAATGTGTTGGTACCACTATACCCTCATGCATTACCCCTTTTGCCTCCACATAATGTTTTGTCGATACTTACCGATAATAATTCCAGCATTGTGTCATTTGCAGATATGTATCCAAGATACGCAAGTACAACTATCTAATACATTTCTTCATTATTATTAGTAGTAGTAGTAACAGTGATAGTATCGGTAGCTGTTAATGTTACCATAGTATTGGAAGTGAACTACAGCCATGTCAGCAAAAAAAAAAAAAAAAGTTGCTTGCTGTTTTTAATTTACTTAAAACATTTTAAACTAGATATATGTAATAATATAACAGTCCACCAAGCCGCAGTGCAGCAGAGACAACAAGAAATTCTCCAAATGAATGACAAATTAAGTCTAATTATATTTTCTATCGACACCTGCATCGATTTTGGCCAGCAACTTTACGTGATACTAATTTTTTCCTTAATGTACCACCACCATGTAGGATACCCGCTGCAGGTTCTCTGCAAATTTTAAGTAGTATCATTTCCCTGATTGCATGTTAATAGTCAAAATGTAACGATTTGATTTATTTTTGACTGAAAATATGTTCAATGAACAATAATAAACTAACGTAAATGATAATACTCAAGTAGATAATAGCCCAAATAACATAAATAGGCTTTTGGATGTAATGATCTGAATACTAATGCCATTAGGATGAGCAGTAATTTTATTTTTATATTTAAAACTGTGAATACAAGATGAATATGTGACCGAAGATCGCAGTAGCGATAGCGATAATACTGTGAGGGGAAAGGGTGAATACTTTATTAGTACGAGTGACTCAGCATTGTGGGTGAAGCGTCGATGAGTAACTTGTAAATATTTGAAAATGGCTTACCATGGCGTGTCTGTAGGGCAGTGATGGCGGCGCTCAGCTGTTGCCCGGCTGCCAGTCTCTCACTCTTAACATCGTCAGTAGTATCCGCCTCCACCCCTCGACCTGATCCCTGCAACACAAATCAACAGTACCAACATATATGCTAAAATTGTAACAGTATTCTATTTTGTCTTACCAAATACTTAGGGCACAAGGCCTGGCCACAAACCGGCTGGCGGGGGCATTGATCCCCGAAACCCTCTCCAGGTATGTCAAAGGTGTTTCCGACTGAGAGAGAGAGAGAGAGAGGTTAGGATGTGGAATATTCTGGTTTAAAGAAGTAAATCTTACAGCACCGGAGGCAAAGGGAGAGGGAACATAATCGCAAAGTTCAAAATACTCAAAGTATAGGTATCGACTTTAGATAAAGACATTGAAAGGAATGAAATCACGAGGAAACAAATAGAAGCTGAAACTCGATTAAAAGCTACATTTAATACTTAAATAATATTAAACAGAATATTGAATAGAAAACAGGTACCATCACTGTCCTATAATTAAGCTCTAATAAACCTCATTAATAAAATATATTTCAGGAAAAGAGGGACTACAAATGTATTAATTCAAGGATTATGTGGAGTAAAATAAAGATTGGATGTGAAAAGTGGGTTATAGTAAGCGTGTATGCACCTGTAGAAGAGAGAAGTGTAGAGGAGAGAGAGAGATTCTAGGAAATGTTGAGTGAATGCGTGGGGAGTTTTGAATCAAGTGTGAGAGTAATGGTGGTTGGGGATTTCAATGCTAAAGTGGGTAAAAATGTTATAAGAGGGAGTAGTAGGTAAATTTGGGGTGCCAGGGGTAAATGTAAATGGGGAGCCTTTAATTGAGCTATGTGTAGAAAGAAATTTGGTAATAAGTAATACATATTTTATGAAAAAGAGGATAAATAAATATACAAGGTATGATGTAGCACGTAATGAAAGTAGTTTGTTAGATTATGTATTGGTGGATAAAAGGTTGATGGGTAGGCTCCAGGATGTACATGTTTATAGAGGGGCAACTGATATATCGGATCATTATTTAGTTGTAGCTGCAGTTAGAGTAAGAGGTAGATGGGAAAAGAGGAAGGTGGCAACAACAAGTAAGAGGGAGGTGAAAGTGTCTAAACTTAGGGAGGAGGAAGTTCGGGCGAGATATAAGCGACTATTGGCAGAAAGGTGGGCTAGTGCAAAGATGACTAGTGGGGGGGTTGAAGAGGGTTGGAATAGTTTTAAAAATGCAGTATTAGAATGTGGGGCAGAAGTTTGTGGTTATAGGAGGGTGGGGGCAGGAGGAAAGAGGAGTGATTGGTGGAATGATGAAGTAATGGGTGTGATAAAAGAGAAAAAGGGAGCTTACGAGAGGTTTTTACAAAGCAGAAGTGTTATAAGAAGAGCAGAGTAATATGGAGAGTAAAAGAAAGGTGAAGAGAGTGGTGAGAGAGTGCAAAAGGAGAGCAGATGAAAGAGTGGGAGAGGCACTGTCAAGAAATTTTAATGAAAATAAGAAAAAATTTGGAGTGAGTTAAACAAGTTAAGAAAGCCTAGGGAAAGTATGGATTTGTCAGTTAAAAACAGAGTAGGGGAGTTAGTAGATGGGGAGAGGGAGGTATTAGGTAGATGGCGAGAATATTTTGAGGAACTTTTAAATGTTGAGGAAGAAAGGGAGGCGGTAATTTCATGCACTGGCCAGGGAGGTATACCATCTTTTAGGAGTGCAGAAGAGCAGAATGTAAGTGTGGTGGAGGTACATGAGGCATTACGTAGAATGAAAGGGGGTAAAGCAGCTGGAACTGATGGGATCATGACAGAAATATTAAATGCAGGGGGGATATAGTGTTAGAGTGGTTGGTACTTTTGTTTAATAAATGTATGAAAGAGGGGAAGGTACCTAGGGATTGGCGGAGAGCATGTATAGTCCCTTTATATAAAGGGAAAGGGGACAAAAGAGATTGTAAAAAATATAGAGGAATAAGTTTACTGAGTATACCAGGAAAAGTATACGGTAGGGTTATAATTGAAAGAATTAGAGGTAAGACAGAATGTAGGATTGCGGATGAGCAGGGAGGCTTCAGAGTGGGTAGGGGATGTGTAGATCAAGTGTTTACATTGAAGCATATATGTGAACAGTATTTAGATAAAGGTAGGGAAGTTTTTATTGCATTTATGGATTTAGAAAAGGCATATGATAGAGTTTGAGAATGTGTGTAAAGGTAGAAAGTTGAAAGTGAACATAGAAAAGAGTAAGGTGATGAGGGTATCAAATGATTTAGATAAAGAAAAACTGGATAACAAATTGGGGAGGAGGAGTATGGAAGAAGTGAATGTTTTCAGATACTTGGGAGTTGACGTGTCGGCGGATGGATTTATGAAGGATGAGGTTAATCATAGAATTGATGAGGGAAAAAAGGTGAGTGGTGCGTTGAGGTATATGTGGAGTCAAAAAACGTTATCTATGGAGGTAAAGAAGGGAATGTATGAAAGTATAGTACCAACACTCTTATATGGATGTGAAGCTTGGGTGGTAAATGCAGCAGCGAGGAGACGGTTGGAGGCAGTGGAGATGTCCTGTCTAAGGGCAATGTGTGGTGTAAATATTATGCAGAAAATTCGGAGTGTGGAAATTAGGAGAAGGTGTGGAGTTAATAAAAGCATTAGTCAGAGGGCAGAAGAGGGGTTGTTGAGGTGGTTTGGTCATTTAGAGAGAATGGATCAAAGTAGAATGACATGGAAAGCATATAAATCTATAGGGGAAGGAAGGAGGGGTAGGGGTCGACCTCGAAAGGGTTGGAAAGAGGGGGTAAAGGAGGTTTTGTGGGCTAGGGGCTTGACTTCCAGCAAGCGTGCATGAGCGTGTTAGATAGGAGTGAATGGAGGCGAATGATACTTGGGACCTGACGATCTGTTGGAGTGTGAGCAGGGTAATATTTAGTGAAGGGATTCAGGGAAACCGGTTATGTTCATATAGTCGGACTTGAGTCCTGGAAATGGGAAGTACAATGCCTGCACTTTAAAGGAGGGGTTTGGGATATTGGCAGTTTGGAGGGATATGTTGTGTATCTTTATACGTATATGCTTCTAAGCTGTTGTATTCTGAGCACCTCTGCAAAAGCAGTGATAATGTGTGAGTGTGGTGAAAGTGTTGAATGATGATGAAAGTATTTTCTTTTTGGGGATTTTCTTTCTTTTTTGGGTCACCCTGCCTCGGTGGGAGACGGCCGACTTGTTGAAAAAAAAAAATAAACAAAACAAATTTGAAATCAATAATTCAATTTACGAAAAATGGAAAAGCCGCAGTAGAACTAATCTAAACAACTTAAGGAAAACATGCATACACGTCACTTAACAATGATAGTGAGTGAGGTAACAAATAGTGGGGGTGGGGAAGTAATAGTGACCTGAGCGAGAGATGTGATGGCATGGAGGAGGCGAGAAGTGTCCTCCCTGGCAGCCGTCAGCCTTTCCTCCAGCTCTTGGGCCCTCGCCGTCCCTGCTGCTGCCTCCCCACTTCGTCTGTTACACGCCAGGAAACGAGAAAGAAACCAACACTATCAAGAAAACAGGAAAAAGTGATTCATTCACTAAAAAAGGAAATGGGGGGAGGGGAAAACGGAAAGGCAACATATAACTGGCAATCATTATGAAAATAGGCGACACGTGATCGTTAAGAGGGAGGTTGCGGGAGAGTTACAGTCGAGAGAAATGACGGAAGAAGGTTGAGAGAGATAGCGGAAGTTAGTTAGGTAAGGTGGTGAAAGAGTTACACTTAAAAGAGAGAAAGAGCGAGGTGGCAGAAAAGTTATTGCTGCAAGAGAGCGAAGTGAAGGGAGAGTTGAGAAAGCACCATAATACTTACGTCAAAACAATATGCTCGAGCCTGGAGTGAGCATCCTTTGAGTGTTGGCGCTGCTCCTCCAGCTGTACCTCGAGGCGGGTTCTGGCAGCTCTTGCTGCTTGCAGGTCCTCCTCCAGGGCCGCCACCTTCCTGCTGCTCTCTCTCACCTCCTGCCGCAGCCTCGTCATTACTTCATCCTGCTGCTCCCGCTCCTCTTGGAGCGCTTTTACCCGCTGCAGTAGTTGACCCACATGCTCCTCCTTCTGTTCCTGCTGCCGTTTGTGTCTGCTGTCCGCTTCATCCAGACGCTTCCGCAGCTCTTGTCCCTCCTGCTTCGTCGCCGTTAAAAGAGCTGAGAGCTCTTCCAAGGCAGTTTCACTGCTGGCACGAACCTGGATAGATGAAGTTACTAAAACATCTCATATAAATAAAGCATCTCGTATCCCCATATATTTACCACAACGGTTGTCTCCGCTAAGGATTATTTGAAGCTAGGTATGGTTTTGGTCCTATCTAATTTTCTGTTAACTTGATTCAGTTTCTAATTATATATATATATATATATATATAAAATATATATATATATATATATATATATATATATATATATAATATATGTATATGCAGAAGGCACACAATTAAAAACCCTTTACCAACAAGGCACCATTATAAGAACATAAGAACATAAGAACGAAGGAACACTGCAGAAGGCCTACTGGCCCATGCGAAGCAGGTCCAAGTCTCCTACCGGGTTAAGCCAATGCACCCAACCTAGTCAGGTCAGGTCACATTAACTTAAGGGAGGAACACGGCAACCGACCTGGTAGCACAAGCTATCAGGTCCAACTCACACCCACCCACATCCACTCATGTATTTATCCAACCTATTTTTAAAGCTACACAACGTTCTGACCTCTATAACTGTACTCGGGAGTTTGTTCCACTCATCCACAACTCTATTACCAAACCAGTACTTTCCTATATCCTTCCTGAATCTGAATTTTTCCAACTTAAACCATTGCTGCGAGTCCCGTCTAGGCTAGATATTTTCAGCACACTATTTACATTCCCTTTATTGATTCCTGTCTTCCATTTATACACCTTAATCATATCCCCCCTAATTCTACGTCTTTCTAGAGAGTGCAGATTCAGGGCCCTTAGTCTATCCTCATAGGGAAGGTTTCTGATACATGGGATCAACTTTGTCCCTCCTCCTTTGTACATTTTCCAGAGAATTTATATCCATTCTGTAATACGGTGACCAAAACTGTGCAGCATAATCTAAATGAGGCCTAACCAAGGATGTATAGAGTTGAAGAACAACCTGAGGACTCCTATTATTTTTGCTTCTTGATATGAAGCCAAGGATTCTATTAGCTTTATTGCGAACACTTATGCACTGTTGTCTTGGTTTCAGATTACTGCTAACCAGAACTCCTAAATCTTTTCCCAATCCGTAATATTAAGATCTACATTATTTAGTTTATATGTGGCATGGTTATTGTCCTGTCCAACATTTAGAACTTTGCATTTGTCTATATTAAACTGCATCTGCCACTTCTCCGACCACTGCATCAGTCTATTCAAATCTTCCTGGAGTGCTCTAATGTCCTCGTCAGAATGAATTCGACGGCCTATTTTGGTGTCATCGGCAAACTTGCCGATGTCGCTCTTTATGCCCTCATCTATGTCGTTTATGTAGATTGTGAACAGCAGGGGGCCCAACACTGACCCTGTGGAACACCGCTCGTGACGCTTCCCCACTCTGATTTCTCCCCATTTATGCAAACTCTCTGCTGCCTATTTGTCAACCATGCCTCTATCCAGGAAAAAATTTCTCCTCTATTCCATGTGCCTTAATTTTCCTCAATAGTCTCTGATGTGGGACCCTGTCAAAAGCCTTACTGAAGTCCATATACACAATATCATATTCATTACCATGATCTACCCCTCAAATACCTTAGTGAAAAAAGTTAATAAATTCGTAAGGCAGGAACGCCCCTTTGTAAAACCATGCTGAGATTCGTTGATTAATTTATGCTTTTCAAGGTAGCTACGAACTGCCTCGGCAATTATTGATTCCATAAATTTTCCCACTATGGAGGTTAGGCTTATTGGTCTATAGTTCGAAGCTAAGGTATCATAGTAGTAGTAGTCGTATATGCCTTAGAAAGGGCAGGACTTTAAAATTCACTGAAGATAGCCTTTAAATTAGATTGTGTAAAAAAAATACCTGTACGGTGTGTGAGTGTGTGTCCTGGGCGAGTGTGAGTGCTTGTCTCAGCTTAGTGAGGGCCTCCTGTTCCTTCAGTGTCACTGCGGAGAGAGAGGCGTCAAGATGACTGACTTGTTCCTGTAGCGCCGCCTTCTCCCTGGGGATGGAAAATTCAAATACCTTCAAGGTATTTTTTTTACTAAATTTTTTTCCCATATTTCTACAGATACTTACATTTTCTTTGTCCAAGGTAACAGTCTATAACACGAAATATATTTTATTATATATTATAAAAAGCAAAATAAAAACAAAATAAATGACAACTCATATAAAAGGAAACTCTTTTCTCAATTATATATTTTATATTTTTAAATAGTTTTACATCAAAATCCTATACTTCTAAACTTATTGCAGTTTGTTTACGAAACATGCAAGATGAAATAAGAGACCTAGTGAGTGCTGCTATTGTCGAGTTTGTGGCGTCTTTGTCACCGCTGTTTCTCTCACTGCTGCTAATGCTGCTCGTGTCAGAACACTCACCCTGAAATATATAATGTACTGTATTCCTGCATATCCTAGTGAAAGACTGCTCTCACTTTCCTTCCTGCTGGGAGCGGATAATTTAAAAAGAATACATATATCTTCGCCTTTAAATTAAAAAAGCTGGGCTCTTCCTCTACGGACTGGTTCTGGAAGATTTAATCACCCAGGCATAATCCCAGCACGTAAATAGTTCATTATTACTGCAACTTGTTTAGCTATCAAAACTTTGGGGCCCAGTCCCTGGACTCATTATGTGCCTCTAATCTTTTCTACCGCTCACAGGATAGGTATAGGATACATAATAATGATATTAAAGTAACTTCCTCCATTAACTGGGCTTGGGGGCAGTGCTCGCCTAAGCATAAATCTAAGGAATCCTCCACCATGTAAAAGCGACCCAGTTAAAAGTTACAGCATAATTTGACACTCAAAAATATCAAGAAAATCGACTTTGTCATCTGAAAAATGATAACTCCTACGAACAATATTGTATATATACCACTGAATATAGATGAACAATAAAAAGTGCTCCGTTAATTATTCAACAGAGGAGAAAGAGCGAGCTACTAGAGCAACAGAGGAAGATACTGACCATGGTAATAGCCTGAGTCAGGGCGTCAGCGAGGCGACGGTTGAGTTCCTGGTTCTCTTGGCCCATCATCTTGACTCCCTCGCCGACGGACACCACCTCACG